CCCATTAAATTTCTCAATCATCTCCCCCATCATTTGTTGAATTCTACGTTTGGTATTACATTTTCATATCCAGAATAACGACAAATGCTTGCAAGTACATCTTCAAATCCTATGATTAACGTCCTAACCACTAATTAATTATGTATAATAATTGCAACTCTACTAAAATTTAGACACTAACAATGGTAATTCTTTTTACCTAAAAAAAATAATGCTAATTTTTTGTCGACCGTGCGTATTGTCCCACAAGAATGACAAATGCTTGCAAGTACATCTTCAACTCCTATGATTAAAGTCCTAACCACTAATTAATTATGTGTAATAATGGTAAGTCTACTAAAATTTATACAATAACAATGGTAATTCTTTTTTACCTAAAAAAAAATAATGCTATTTTTTTTTTTGCGACCATGCATATTGTCCACAAGTATGAGAACTACTAAATTTCTGTGTTAATTACAAGTTTTCAGGGTAAAAAAATAGCATACAATATTATTAAAACAAGTGTTATCTTCATTGACCACTATTTTGACATTTTTTATATTTTCTAGCCACAAAGATTTTAAAACAAATTAGAGAACTTCCGACATGTTCTTTTTAACTACTAATAAGAATTATTGTTTTAATTGTTAGATTAAGTTTTTAATAGTCTAATACGTGAGTGTTTATGTTAAAAATTTACAGTGCGTGGCACAAAATTACACTGAATACAAATTAAATTGTTGAAAACTTAATCTATTAGTCAAAACAACAACTTTTATGAATAGTTAAAAAGAATTTTTTTCTACCGTAAAAACTCTCACCAAATTAGGAAAAGGAGGTAGGGTAGAACATTGTCTTTAGACTAGCAATCACTTGCGAAAACGTACCAAAAACGCTTTAATGCATTGATGGTATGTGGAACAAAATTGGATTCCTATTATAATATAAGCATGGGGAACACTAAATACATCATATAATATTAATAAGTAGCAAGCTAGAAAGATATCATTTTCATATGTCGTCTTACTCAATTAGTTAATATGACAGAAACATGTTAGGACATCGTTCCATTTATATTGCGTTAGGATTCATAGGATTCTATTTTCTACTGAGTCAATCCCTTTTGCCATAAGAAAATATTATTAGTAAACTAAATCTTCTGCATTCAAAATTGAATATTAGAAGAAGACTAAAACACATTGAAGGAGACAAAAAGCTTAGGGATACCAGAAGAAGCCAATTAGCTTTTTTTTTTTTTTTTTTTTTTAAGTGTTTTTTATCCCTTCGAAATGTCTTTGAAGAACGTTCCATTATTATTATAAGTATCCTTATTTTTGGGGGTGGGACTGAGAGGATGAGTTGCTTCAAAGCTGAAAGCTTTTGCTCCTTCTCGTAACCATCAGATAATCATTAATTATTATTTTTTTGTTTGGTTCTTTCTTTTTACTTTCTTTGTTTGGTTTCTTCTACTTTGACAAATAATTATGAATTCTCTTTCTCCACATTGGTGCAAGAGAAAGCCTAAAGAGAGAGAAAAAAAAAAAGAAAAAAAAAAAAAAAAAAAAAAAAAAAAAAAAAAAAAAAAAAAGAAACCAAGGAAAACCAGTCTCTTACCCTTTGGAATAACTTTTTCTTTTTCTCTTCCTCAATCTCTCTAATACCAAAAAAAACTAAATTAATACGTGAATATATAAATAATGGGAACCTTTAATTAAGACTTTCACAAAAGGCATGGAAGCGGCAGAGAGTGAACAGAGTAAAGAAATTGCACGCTTAGAATGATACGTGAAGGCAAGGATATTTGTAGAGAGAGAGAGAGAGAGAGAGAGAGAGAGAGAGAGAGAGAGAGAGTCACATGATGATGAGTGCATGTTACACGATACACAACCATGCAGATAACACCATGACTGAATGTCTTCCGGTTTTGTAAAATTGCAATAAAAAGGTGTAGACAAGGAATGTGGGCCATTTTTTTCTATATACTAGTTGGGACAAAACCAAAAACCTACAATCATTTTATTTATGTTCTTTGGAAGCCATTGCCAGAGCCAGAGCCACCCATGATATCCATCTCTCTACAATACCCCCCACAAACGTGGAAACTTTTATTACAGTCTTGAGAAATTTCTGCAGTAAATTTATTATATTTCTGTTAAGTTCCTCATCTTCATGATAGCCAATATTTTCTGTGGTCAACTAGGATTGGCTGATGAAATGGTGGACATATATATATATATATATAACACAGACATATTATATATATATATATGTAAATATATTAATAAAGACATGGAACAAGGTATGGGGACATGGACAGTTATAATTCTGACTCCCTTTTTCTACAATCAGCTCCTTACAATCGGAACTATTATTATTATATATGTATGTGTAAACATTATCACAGTACTTTTCTTTTGGTCTAACAAACTAGCTAAATTCAACTTTTTCCTAATTAAAGTTGCCTGGTTCAATTTCAATACCATTGTAACTTGTAAAAGAGAAGGGGGAAAAAAAAAAGAACTATCTATTTCAAATTTCAAGAATGAATCAGGATTCAGGAATATCAGAACAGCAAGGTGGTCCCATTGGGAAGTAGCGGTAGGAGTATAATGCATATGGGTTTGCCTAACATTTAAGGTTCTGGTCCATCTGGATATTGGGCTTCTGTCATAACAGTGACACCCATATTCTTTACCTGGGCCTCACAAACTCGCTTCATGAAACGGCAAATGCAGATGGGGTTTTTATGACTAAGCCCAAACTCCGATTTCCCACTTTTTATGAAAATATAATTCCGAATTTGGGAGATAGAGAAAAATAGGCCAATACTTGAGGTGAATTAAAATTGATAGGCCAATAGTTTATATAAGTTAATAAATATGCCAAATTACTGTTTTCGTCCATAACTTGTCTGATTATGAATCATAACTTGACAAGTTATTGTCCATAAATCACGGTTTTTGTCCATAATTTATCTGGTTATGAACCATAACTTAACAAGTTTGTCCATAACTTATCTGGTTATTAACCATAACTTGACAAGTTATGGCTTATTAATTTATATAACTAAAAGTTAGCCTATATACTTCCTTAAGCTTTTCATATTGGCCTATTTTCTACTATTTTTGAATTTTTTTTAAAATATATTTTAAGCATGATAGGGTTACAAGATAATCATTGTAATGATTTATGTGTTTTACGTTACAAAATTAAATGATTTAAATTTTTGTTATCTATTAAGAATTAAAATTTTTTGATATAATTAGTAAAATAATGTTATATATTTCAGACAATACTTATAGTAAATAGCATACTACTGAACTCTTTAATGTAAATCACATCTTTTCTGAAACGCTTGAAGTAAATAATACTGTATAATATTTATTTACTGAGCACAAGAAATTTATTTATCTGTGAATACTTGTCGTAAATAGTTTATTTGTAACGAATAAATAAATATTCTTCAATTGTCTAAAAACATGATATTTACTTTAACAAAAATGTCTACATTTGTCTCTTTATTTCAACTTCTATTATTTGTGTGCTCAACTTTAAAAGAAAAAAAAAACAATTATTATTAGAGAAAAAGTTCATAATAATATCTAATTAGATAATTTAGAAAAAAAAATTAAAAATTAAAAAAAATTATTGAACTTACTTTTTTAAAAGTGCATCGGTCTAAATTTTTATTCCTTATTCTCGTTTAGTATCCTTTTATTAATATACTTATTTAATTAAAAAATATTAATTAAAAAATATTAATTAAAAATTAAAAATTAAGAAGCTGTTCGTTTGCTTCAGATAACTTGGGCTTGTTATTTTGAGTGAAAAACTCAAAAAAAATGCAACTCGAATTACAACTTTATTCGAGTTTATGTTCTTTTAAGTTTGAACTCGAGTTCAAACTCAAGTTTGGGACTAAAACTCGAGTTCAAGTTTCCCCTTCAACTCGAGTTCAGAAACTCGAACTCAAATTAATGAGCAGTGTTTTTTCTATTCTTAAAAATGCTATAACTTTTTTATTTTAATTCCGATTGAGATGATTTTTTTTCTATGCGTTGACAACGAAAAGAGGAATAAAACCTCACCCATATACCCTATTAAAATTTTCCATCAGTATTGAATTTTTATTAAAATACTATCTAAATACAAATTCAAGTTTTGACTCACTCAAACACAAGCTCAAAAAGATTCTTATCTCAAACCATAACTCAAATGTACACAACCAAACACAAACTCAAGTTATAACTTCAACTCAAATTCAACTCAAGAATTATATTCAAGTTAAACTCCAAAAGAACAAGCCCTCAGTGAGCCAACTTGAATGAGTTTTCCAGCTCATTTGTGTTCGTTCCTCGAAGTACTCAAGTTCGTGTTCGAGTTAATACTCTCAAGTCAGCAGCCTGTTTTCAAGTTCAACCCTTCTCCTCGAATTCACCTCACTCAAATTACATCCTACTATTAAAAAACTGTTTTCTCTTATTTAAATAATAAATTCCAAACAAAATATTACATCTCATTCACTTTTTACTATTTATAACTCAAGTCTTACCAAACACGTACTCAAATTATATTTTCAATTCAAACCTTAACTTTAATATGCACATCTAAACACAAACTTAAATTATAACTTCAATTTAAATTATAATTCAAATTTAATTCAAAATCTATACTCAAATCACCATAACTTAAAAATACAACTGAACAAGCCGTAATACTATACTTTTAAAAAGTACTTATCAATATTTTTTAATTATTTATTTAAAATGACATAAGTAATACATGGCATTTTATGACGGCCCAAACTGGGATTTCCCACTATGTGACTGGACAGATGGACTTAGGACGCATCCACACATGCATGTTGTGCAAACCCATTTTGTAAGCTCAAAACTGAAGTTTAGCCCACTTTGGTATGGATTTGCCATTTGTGGAAGAGAGAGAAAAATCTTGATAGTTAACTTGTGGCTAATGTGGCACTCTGTTGGCTATGCGCCTTATCCACCAACTGTTGTGGTCGTTATAATTTTAGACACGAAATTTCGTGTATTTCTCCCAAAAATTCATTATCCCTTTCACTCTCTTAAAAAAAAAAAAAAATCCCACTGAGAATCCCATATCCACAATGGCTTCCTCAACTCTCTCTCCCGTCTCTCCTTCTCAGGTAACTTATCACCATAATCTAAACAAAACCTTAATTATTCTACAAAGTACAAAAAACTTGTGTATTAATTAATTCGTCTTAATTTTAATTTTCTTTTTCAGCTATGCGCTGGCAAGAGCTCCATGTTCTGTCCCTCACATGCTTTCCTGGTGAAACCGGCGGCGAAGAGCCAATCGGCGGTAGTAAAGGGAAAGGGAATGAGAATCGCGTGCCAAGCGACGAGTGTTCCGGCAGATGATAGAGTGCCGGATATGGGTAAGAGGCAGCTCCTGAATCTGCTTCTCCTGGGTGCCATCTCTCTCCCCAGTGCCGGAATGCTCATTCCCTATGCTTCTTTCTTTGCCCCACCCGGGTCAGTTTTTATTTTTCTTTTTGCTTAAAAGATAAAATTTAAGAAAGCTAAGTTTTAGATTAGTGATTCTTGGGGCTAAATTGATGATTAAATTACAGGTCAGGAGGTGCTGGTGGGGGTACCGTGGCCAAGGATGCCGTTGGAAATGATGTTATTGCAAGTGAGTGGCTCAAGACTCATGGCCCTGGGGACCGTACTCTCACTCAAGGATTGAAGGTACGTGTGAAAATTAATTACTGGGAAAACTGTGTTTCATCTATGTACGGTTTGTTTGTTTGTTTTTTTTTTTTTTTTTTAATCAATATAGCAAGTAATAACCCTACATAGGAGGCAAACGAAAACAGCTGAAAATAAACGTCCAAATCTCTATGTATTGTATTGAGGTGTGAACATAATCGCATAATCAACGGCCAATTACAGACAAGACTTTTCATACCACTATTGACAATAAGAAAAGCATCAATATAACATGTTCAAATCAGAACATGTTATTATGTTGCTAAAAGTCTTTAGCTGATCATGTGTTATATTTAGGATTTTCTCTTTAGATGGTCCTGCGTATAAATCATTAAATCTAGATATTCAATGTATAAATTAGTTAAACCAAAACTTAGTGAAGTTGATGAAATGGAAATTTTGCTTGGGTTTCAGGGAGATCCTACATACCTAGTTGTAGAGAATGACAAAACTCTGGCCACATATGGAATCAATGCTGTGTGCACCCATCTTGGGTGTGTTGTGCCCTGGAATAAAGCTGAGAACAAGTTCATCTGCCCTTGCCATGGATCTCAGTACAATGAGCGAGGACGTGTTGTCAGAGGACCTGCACCTTTGGTATATCCAAACAAATATAATCTTTTACCTCTTTCTTTAGCTTAATGTTAATTTGTTGTAGAATATGATAATCTAGTCTTTCCTGAGTTTTAATCAACATGGATGTTATCCTGATGGCAACCATGGATTTTAGTGTAATATAACACTGTTAGTCCTCTGAAGTGAATCCTTAGAGCATCTCCAATGCAACACTAAATTGATATGGCAATACCAAATTTTGGTATTTGAGTAAAAAAAAACAAAAACAAAAATTTACTCTCTAGTACAATGATATTTTTTGTACTTAATATGACAAATGCTATACTTTTTGGCAATTTACTACAAGGTAGCAAATGCCAAATTTTGGCATTTGATTATTTTTAGTTGCTACATTAACCTTTTCGTTTAGTGATTACAGCATTGTTCTTTTAAAATTATCTTAACATTAAAAAAGTTTTAAAGCTTAATAATCATGACAAAAAGTAGATCATATAACAGTTGACATCTATGCACAAAATAAAATAAGACCCCAAAGATGCTATTTTCACACTTTTTGTGGTAAGTGTGGCAAGTCATTAGCATTTACATTGGAGATGATTTTAGAGGCCTATAAAACTGAATTTTAGATTCTAACTTGGCCATAATTGCTCTCGCAAATCCAATGGGGCGTGACATGAGATTTATAATTGAGCCCTTTTCATTATTCTTTATGATGTACTTTCTCGGTTCCAAGTGCTAATCATTTTCTCTTATAATTGTTGGAACAGTCTCTGGCATTGGCTCATGCTGATGTTAATGTAGATGATGGGAAGGTAGTGTTTGTTCCGTGGGTTGAAACAGATTTCAGAACCGGCGAAGAACCATGGTGGGCTTAAACCTCTTCGCATTTCAGTACTACTGCTTTCTTCGTCATCATTTTTATTAAATTCAAATGGTGTCAGTTTGTTTTCTCATACTCCTGAGCCATATAAAAAAGTTCATCTTTTGTGAAATGATCAGGTTGATAATATGTTTTAAGGACCTAATTTTATCCATTGCTCGTATAGTATAAGGTTTCTGGGGTTGTATCTTTTTGTATCACATTTCATGAACAACTTCTGTTTAAAGGTTAACCGGAGATGGTTCTTATATGTATCTACTGAAATTATTTAATTTATTTTATTCAAATAATTGAACAGGTTATTAGTTCCTGACTGACTATACCAACGAGGGGTGAATTGGGGTTTAAAACTTTTTTTTACAAGTGTTTTATAATTATTCGAAAGCTCTTGATTAATCACAAAAATAGTACTAAAATTATATAACAAAAAACTATGGTAATCAATTATCACTAAGATTAATAATATCAAATAACTATATAACCAAGTAAGTCAAACAACGTATTCAAAACATAGCTATTAATTCACACAAAAATGAGCAATACCAATGGTGATAAAAGAGTTGGAGAAAGATATTCGATAATATGCCTAGTATATCACAAGATAACCTCTTACACTATATCCACTATATATTGTCAAGTATATTATAAGGTGACCGCTTACACTATTTCAACTGACTTTTAACACGATCATGCTACGTATAGATGAGGATTTTTTTTTCTCTACCGAATCTTACCATGACCTCTATATCCCCCGATTTTTGAAACGGAAATTGGCTAATCAATCAACACCAAAACGATCCGACTTCTCAGACCGTTAATTAATTTAATTAAATATTTGAAAACTCTATGGACTTATAAAATTTTGAATATATATATTTTTTATATGTAACATATTTCTGACGAGCTATAAGAGATAAATAATAATAGATACACATATGAAAAGCTTCAATACAATTTTAGTGAAAACTAGATTAAAAATTTTTAACCGAAGACTCAATCGCACACATCGTGTAGGAGAACATAACGTTATGGTATATACTTAACATTCAAGATCATAAGTGCTTAATCAATTTTAAAAGATATACTAAGCATTAACGAAGACGATCATGAAATATATAATGATAATAATAACATGGATTGATTGTTACTCTAATGGATAACGAGAGCAATTTATGTGCTACTAGTAAAATGTGCAATTGAAAATGAAAAATCATAACCACGTGTCTAAGTGTTTAACATAGGAAAACTTGTCCTATAGATGCAAGTATTTAAATCATGGAAGCCTAACATACTAGAATAGCAGTCTTATAAAGTTTAAAATAGAATGGAGCTTAAACGCGGAATTAATTGCTGGCGGTATCCATAATCCTCTTGTTGACCCTATCGCTCATGCTCTACTCTGCCAACCCATCAAGAGGGTTTAAGTGGCGGGCTTCTTGCCCGAATTACCTACAGCATGAACAAATATGGGTGAGCTTTCACTCAGCAAGTACGAACTCAATCTCAAAAAATAGTTAAAAGACAAATGCTATGCATGACAAATTATGAATAGTCTGATTATTAACTTTACATCTTATGGGCCTTGTGTACGTACCAGGTGCGCACGACCAATGGGGTGTTGGGAGAGCAACCCAAATATATTATACCGACAACACCCAAGGTCATCATATAGATCGTTCATCATTTCCCTACCTACAGATGGTTGGTACAACACTTAAATGATCTTTTCTTTACCATTGCCTCTTATTAGGTGAGCATGCAATTATGATCATGGCTCATATTCAAAACTTAACATTTAGTTTGTAGAGGCAATAATACATCAATAAAATATTATCATGACATCTTAAATAACATACTGATAATTACGATAGCACATCAATCAACAATCATTCAACAACATCAAACAATTCACAATCATGTGACATCAACTCTTTAAATCAGGTTCCATGTTGTAGGTGAGGTTCGTACTTACCTAATCAAGCACAACCTCACTTAGCAATTCCCGCTTACTTATCTTCTTTTGGAACACTCCTTAGTGATAACACTTATTAGTCAGCAAGGGTCCCTTGGTCGATTTCTCATTACAAGGCCTAAGTCATTATAATATCTTATGAGAATTCTGTTGGGAATAGTGTCCTAGAAGCATGAGATGTAATAGGATATTTATTATTTATTTAATAAAAGAGTTTATTCATTATTTTATGTACATATATTTATGAATATTTTATGAATATCAATGAAAATTCCATGGTTATTTATGTAACCTTAAACATTGTATATAAGTGTTATATACGAGAGGATAATGTTTAAGGATAATAATCAAAAAGCAATGTTCATAATGAATTTAATTAAAGTTTGAAATCTTTAATTAAAACATTATTAATACATGTCATTCCCATTAAGAATGGAACCGTGTTATCCGCACTGTTAATATGGTGAGATATTGAATGAGTGTTTTTCACATAATGAGATTATGTGGAACAAGGACACAGACACAATATGAATTTCTAATAATTCCGTTAAGTATAGAAATTCTAATTGAGTCTACCGATGGTCATATATAGGATGATCTTAATCCTGAGTTCTTAACAGACTCCTATTTATGGATTTGTGTCTTTTGATTTACTCGGTACGGATTCTGAGATCATGAATCGTATTCCTTGTATTTTGGAGACATGATGAAGTAGGTAGCCGGGAATGTTATTACACGAGATGGAATCCATTCCTTC